AGTGATTCTCACCGAGTTTTTAGTCGTTTTGTACGCGGATCACGTGAGATTTCACCCGTGTCGTCCCTATATAGAGAGTCTACCGACTCTCTGATAGAGTTGTGTCGATGCTGGCTATATACACTGAATGTTTGAACTCTTGCTAAGAGTGACATTGTGATTGTGTCTGATATATATTGAATAAAAAATGATAATTGATAAGTGTATCCAGTAATTTTCTGATTACTAGCATTGTTTTCATGACAGATATGTTCCTTGGGACAGCTATAATTTTAGCAGCAAAATGCATATGACTTCACAATGGCCACCCTTGGCAAATATCTTCCACAAAGGGAGTGTTTCAAGTATTTCACGTATGAATTACTCAGATAATTCTCTAGAGGTCCTACAGGTGTTAAATTATACGCTTGAGTAAATGTAGGTGGAGGAGTATGACAACCTACATTGAAGTGTGCGTAACAAACTGGTTTGAATAAATCATGAATAATGTGTTCGTATATATACACTGTGCAAAGTTCAGAACACCATATTGCCAACATACTGACATTGTTCAACTTTATGCAACTCACGGTTGAACAAATGCAAAATGTGTCCATATGGTTAGATCACAATGTGCAACTCTTGCTTTGGCCCTGGATGGTAACATATATATTATATGGTAGCAGGTTAACTTTGCTCCGTGCGTATTATTAATCTTTACATTGCAAGCATCATCCATGATGAGGTGTACTTTGATACAAAAAGACTTGTTCTGATTGACTCTGTGCTGAATCAATTCATGCTTTACAGTAAGTCTTACAGCTTTCTGTTCAGAGCTGTTATTAACTGTACCTCATTTCAAAAGACATACAATGTACTTACCGAACCATGATGCAGCCTACAAACGTATGTTGGCAACTCGAAAGCACCGATGACCGGGTTGCTTTTGTTGGTTAAAGTTTAGCCCCCAGCTTTAGGTTCAACTCAGGATACACACTGCTAGTGAACATTAAGGAAATAAACACTGTTTAGCTACCTCTTACTATGTCCCAATAATACTTATGCCTGCAACTCTTCAAGGCCTGAAAATACATGGACCAGACCATCGTCACAAGACAGTGCTATATATTTAGTTGTTTACGCTCATCTGCTAGTTTTTTGGGCTACACACAGTTGCGTTAGATCCCCTCCTACATGTCTCTGCCTTCTAGATGATCGCACATGGGATGCTGACAGAGACACATACCAATTACGTGGCAATAATGTTACACCCACAGTTGGAATGTCCTAATGTTTCCCTGTATATATAAACCCTAGTTACCTCAACCTGGACTTTGCTGCAACATATTCAACCTAGTAATCTAGGCTACAAAGCTATCTGTCCTCACGCTTTAATGAATATAATATATTCACTATTCCTTAAAACCCCTGTGTTTACTTGGTGGTGAACAACGACTGTGTAGCTAATCCAGTAAGATACGTATCTGGATCACCAGTAAGACAGGTATTCAGATCACCAGTAAATAGTTTGCAGTAGAAGCACTTTACTGCAGCATCGACATTGAGACATAGTCTGCAACTTGCCCTTCTCTTATTGTACGACTGTGTGTGTCTGCGAAGCTGTGAAAGGGTGCGGAGGTATCACTTACGGTCATATCTCAGAGCACACAAAGTATGTCTAAAACAACTGACACTCAGCAGCCCCCACACAGCATTACTCAAGACCTAGCCTCCATCTACTGCACATAAACAAGAGAAAACACTGAAAAAGTAATACTATCCCCAGGTGAGTGGCTGCATGCGCATAAAATAAAAGTGGGCTGAGAGGGTCTAGTGAGATACATGTGAGTAATGTTTTTTCAATTCCAGTAGCCATTTCTAAAATGCTTTGATCATCTTAACGTGATGCAATTGCACTCCCTTGCGCATGCGCGCACGCGCCGTCCACCCGGCCGCGCCGCCGCGCTGCTGCTGATTGGGCGTCGTCCACACACACTACACACGTACACGTACACACGCGCGCGTCGTCGCCGCGCGCGCGCAGGTGCGTGCGCCGTGCGTGTGCGAGAATGCACGGCCGGATGATGAGCACGAGTATTATAGAAGCAGCGAAGCACTGAATCGACAGTTCTGCTACTCAGTTAACAGAGCTATCAACTGCAGCCGCTATTGCTGCAGCAAAAATTGTTTCCCCCCCAAAAAGACCGTTGTCTGCAGGTAAGGGGATTAGCTACAGCGATTTTTGCAATATGACAATGCACAGAGAAATCAGTAATGCACCAATTTGTTTCCTCAGGAGTCTTCCTACAGGAATTCAGTAGGACCGGCACTCTCTGCTACCAGCTACAATGGAGAGGTGGTGGCTGGCAGTTGTTGCAGTTTTGACTGCATTCGGTGCACTCGCAACCTCCCAGGAACCGAGTGAGCGTTTAACAATGTGCCAGTATAATGATAATTATGTTATTGCACGTAGAAAATGTTCCCCCTTAGGGAGAACATCTCTACCTGCAAGATGATTGCTTTTGCACGAACCATGTTGAAAATGTGTCAAGGGAAGGGGGAGCTACACCATAACTTGTACAAGGGAGGGGAGCTGCACCATAACTCAATGCCTTGTACCAACGTGACACCAGTTAACCTATGTGTGGGGTCCAGGTTACAGGTACTATATAGATTCTCCTACAAACAAAGCTGAAGTTTTAAAACAGTAAATATTCTTAAGATCCACCACCAGAGGTCACACACTGACGAACGTAATTCAGTATACAACGTCACACCTCGAAATTTCTGAAAACGCTCCTCTATTGTACAAAAATTAAGTTGGCTTTGATAATTGCATCCGTTTTGTATAGGCGAGCCGCTGCAGTGGATCCCAATGAGTGAGAATGCAATCACTCTGCCCGCGGCAGATGACCAAGCTACCGAAATATATTTTGCCCCTGGGTTTCCTTTTGGAGATGAACTCAGACACAAAATATATGTAAGCAGCAGCAAATGAAGTTTGCACTAGAATAAAGTTTTTTCTGCAGGTATCTACAAATGGTTTGATCTCTTTTGATACCCCTATCTCCACGTTCTTTAATCAACCTTTCCCAAGTTTCCTTGGAAATTTTTATGTGATAGCACCTTTCTGGGATGACATAAACATTGTAAATGGTGGTACAATCTCTTACGAGGAACACGCGTCAGGCAGCAATGCGATGGGAGATGTAAATGACTATGTTTCAGCACAAATCGATGAAAACTTTGAAGGTATTTGGATGCTGGTTGTTTTCTGGGATCAAGTTGCTCCATATTTTGGATCAATTAATGATGTAAGTTGCCTTATATTATTATGCTACCTGTTCTATGTCACTACGATTATACAGGCAAACTCATTCCAAGCCATATTGATAATGGATTCCAGCCAAGATGCTTATGCGATCTTCATCTACGAGTGTGGGCTGCTTCAATGGGACAACTTTGCAACCATTGGTTACAATGCTGGCCCAGAGCATTATGACAACCATGACCCAAGCAGCAGTGATGTTGCCTGCGTGAACCACCCAGCCAACAACTTCAGCAACGTCTTTTACACACTGCATGAGGCAGAGCCCCTTCCACCTGTAGACCGTAAGCATACAAATCTTCTGAGTCCACTATTTTGAATAATTCTCTCTGTGTCTGTAGCACAAGTTAGTTACTTGGATTTCCTCCCACACACAACAAATTATTTGAGCAATGGGCTGCTACCAAATTGTGACGATTGCATATCACAAAATATAGAATTGCCTAGTGACTTTCCATTTGGAAACTTCACCCACCCGAGTGCATATGTGAGTTCATTCGCTTAACATAATCTGAGGCTTGTACCTGTTTATAAAACTACATCATCCAGGTGGCTTCAAATGGACACATTTCATTTCGAACTGCCTACACCCATTTCAATGCTGAGCTCTTCCCAACTACAAACCCCGGCATCTACTGGGACTTTGTGTTGGCCCCGTTCTGGTCCGACGTAGATCTGCGACTAGCAGGGAATGCATCGTGGGAGATACACACGACAGCTGAGTCGCAGGACCTGATTAACACTGTGTCGATTTTCATCCAAGAAAACACAGCGAGTAGTAGCTTTTCAGGGTCATGGATGATGATCGCATATTGGGAAGATGTACACCCATTTCCTCATGGTGCTGGAAGCACAACGGAATATGCTTTGAGTGTATGCAGCACGACAGCACAGGCATTCAGAAAACTCACATAACCATCATTTCTTTCCTTGCAGACCAACACTTTCCAGGCCATTATAATTACTGACGGGACCAAATCATATGCAGTGTACACGTACAGATGTGGAGAAATGGATTGGGGAGACGAGTCAACAGTAGGATTCAATGCCGGCGGAGACTACTTTCAAAACCATCCCGTCACTGGACACTTCCAGTCTCATTTCATATCTTGTCTCCAGAACATTAGCAATGGCAACCCCACCACAAATGTGATATACGATTTAGTTCCCAATCCAGGGTCAGTACTCCCTGGTGATATTCCTCCGTTCCACAACACAATCGGTACACATACATAAAATTGCTCCCCGAAAACTACGATTAGCCTCTTTTGCTATTCAGGGTCATGCTCTGCAGCAGGGTATACTGAATGCTGTGCAGAAGGAGACTGCAGAGGAACACCACTCTATGGAAACTGCTACTGCGATGCTCTCTGCCGCGATCGTGGGGACTGCTGCTACGATCAACAATTCATCTGCCCCAGTCAGTCCATGCCCAAGCACATACTCTCAAAGTAACATGTGTGTTCTCTTTATTTGCTTGCCCTGCAATGGATCTAATTTCTTCAAACAGCTGGACTATGTAAGGAATTTGATCATATCACAAGCTGGGAGTTTAAATTTTCATTACATCATTCCCAGTGACAGACAATTACGTGATACTGGCAGTAGACCCCGGAGTCCTTCACATGTCTTTGAATGGCTCAGATGTTCAAACTCTAGTCAGTGGTGTCAACGAAAGGGCCTATGGAATCGACTACCACTTGGCGTAAGCAGTTTTGATATTGCATAGATTGTTGCCAGTGAGCTGTTTGTCAAACAGTGACCAGATTATGGTGTGGTCGGATGTTGTGAATGATGTCATCTACATGAAAAGTCTGGATGGAACAGGGCTTGTAACTGAGCTAGTGACAACAAACATAGCGGCAGTTGGTGAGTAACTATTAGCTATATTCTCATTCGATATAACTTTGTGCATTAGATGATCTGGCCATTGATTGGATTGGCAATAACCTCTACTGGACTGATAGCACATGGTCTCGAATTGAGGTCATGAACCTTGAGACTCTTAATCGTGCTGAGCTACTGCGTACTGGACCAAATCTTAACCCAAGATCTATTGCTGTTGACCCTACCAACAGGTAGCTATATTAGAACTACAAAACATTAGGTATTGATAACATGCATCTTTGCGAAATAGCTACATGTACTGGACGGAACTGGGCCAGTCCTCACGGATAATAAGAGCATCCATGGATGGGACATCGGAACAACTACTGCTTGGATTCTTAGCTCAACCAAATGGACTGACAGTTGATATTGCAGAGCAGAGACTATACTGGTGTGATACGGCTGCTGGTACAGTAGTATATGGAGAGTTGGGGTCTGCAGGTTTGGTGTCCTTTACACCATTGGTACTGGAAGGTGGTATTGGTCAGCCTTTCTCCATCTCTGTATCTGCAACATCAGTGTTCTGGACTGACTGGAGTACAAATAGTCTATTGGCCACCCATAAGATCTATGGCAGTGGAGAGAGTGGCCACCAATTCACAGTTTTCGATGCATCCCCTAATACACCAAGAGGGGTTGAAGTGGTTACATCAAGCCAACAGCCTACAGCTGGTAAGTGAACATAAAGACATCTTCTATCTCACTTTATGTTGGTCACCCACAGGCATCTCCAATCCTTGTAATACGAGTGGATGCAGTGACATCTGTTTGCTGTCTCGCAACACTGCTGGGTTTACGTGTAAAAGTATGAGGCCTTAAGTATACTTGTATCTTACATCTTGATCAATTTCTCTCCTTTACAGTGGCTGATGATACAAGTCCCACACCCCCTTCAGCAGGTAAACCCACCTCTCAAGAAACGGTGCATGCATACACAATGCCACCAACATACAGGATCATGTGCTGATGCTGAATATGACACCTGCTGCTCACACGGTGCTTGTGGTGGATATCCAGCAACCTGTTTCTGTGACATAGCCTGCTACGAACGTTCTGACTGCTGCGATGACATTTATGACATCTGCAATGATACTGTTATTATTTCGTATTTACTCCTCGTTACTTATAGCAATTGGGCTTTTTGAACTTTATTTCCGTCTTCTTTTCTCTACTTAGGCAACCTCTCTACTTCAGTGGTTTGACGACATTGGCATCGTGTGCATTGGCTTTTGCGCCCTTCAGTTTTTTCCGATGATCACAGCGTTAATTTTTTCTTAGCCCGTTCTTAGCATCGGTCCCCCTTCATTTTGTGTTCCATGCGGCAATGAGGAAATCCAGATCTCACCCCATAAGGATCCACACACCTACCCTATGGACTTGGATACCCACCAGTGTCACGCTCCGTCTCCCCGCCTACGTGGCACCCGACTTTTGCCTGGTAGCATACAATTCATTTCCACACGCATATGACGGTCCCTCGTCTACATCTCCCCGGTACGACACTATACTTCCCACTGCTTGTCAGCAGGAGTAAAACAGATATACCCCGCGACCTAGCCAATTCCTTCTCCTCCCCCCTTTTATCACAACCACACATTTTTGAATGAGTTATACTTTTACCACCACATTCGAATTTTTTGTATGCTCAGGCGGACAGCACGCTCCCCAGTGGACCAGGCCCCTTTCTTTCTTACAGTATTATGACGTAAGTACATCCCTATCCATTTACATACCTACGACGGCCTAGTCTGGACCTAAGCAGAAAGGAAGCGAATCATGCGGGATTCTTCTGAAACAGTTATAAGAACCAGCGCTACAGGGCGAATTCCCCTCCTCTCCTTTCCCATCTTTCATCACATTCCCAATCATTCATCTCTCTCTTCCAAATTTCAATTATAAGCTTCCTCTTCTCTCCCACCAAGTCTTCCGCCTCCATTCCTCCCCTCTTTAACATTCCTCTTTACTTTCTTCCCACCTCTTTCCCATTTCTTTCCCCTCCTTCCCCCCCTTCAATCCCCTTTCCCCCTCACTTTTTCCCCTCTCCCTCCCCTTCCCTCCCCCCCTCTTCCCCCCCCCTCTTCTCCCCCCCCCCCCCTCCTTTCTCTCATTTTTCTCCCCTCCCCCCCCTTTCCCCCTTTCCCCCCCCCCCCCCCCAGCGAATCCACACACTCTCCCCTTTTCTCCGGAACTTGTACACAGGTAAGGACCCCGCTTTACCTACTTATCTGACCCATTGAACCACCTCAAACTGGAAGTGTTGATGGTTGTTTCTGAGTAGTTAACTAGATCGTGAGACGTGAATTCCACATTCCAAACCACCCACCATAAGTTCTTTCTTCCTCCTCTTTCCCCCCCACCCCCCCCTCCTTCTAATTTAGGAACCCCCTAAGGCCAAACACCAAACATGTGTGAAGTTGCAGCTTCGACTTTCTGCCGGCCCCCCCCCCCCTTTTGACCCCATTTTGGACCACTTACCACCCACCATCCAAATCTTCTATTACTATCAGAAGGTATATACTCACATTTCATAACCCAACACTATTTTACTGGTTTTAACTTGTTCCTCATTTAACTTTACCGGAGCGACTTCGAGTGATCTGATTTGTTATTTCAGTCTGCCGAATACACACACAATGGGGTACTACCCTTTATTTACCAGTCAAAAGAGTTTCCTCCTCCCACAGGACACGCATCGATGGGGTTTGGGGCCCATACGGTTTTATTTCCATACAGGTCGTTTTCCTTTTGTGGCCCCCTTGGTGGCTACACAACACACCCAGGCTTTTGTAAAGTCCCCACAAATAGAGACCTATCTTCACGAGTAAACATACAGACACCTGTGGATTTTTGCTTGGCAGGCCCCTTGGCACCCCTCCCCCACACCCTTCTCCTCCCCTCTTTCTCTCCTTTTCTCACGAATTCACGCGACTTGATTTTCCTGGGATTTTTCTTTTGGGGTATCACACCCCCCAGGATCTCTTATAACTCCTAGGCATTTCCCCGGAATGTCCTGCACACATACAAGGTACCGTACTCTCCTCGTGGCTCCTTTCTGGGCCGATGTGGACATCGAGTCAGCACAGGTAGATTCCATCCCTATATTACAGAGTCCATTTTGGCATTTGTTTGGGTATTTATTTTTAGACCCGTGCTGAATAATTTCCGCTACAACGCAGCCAGATTTTCCGATTCCTTCTGACTGGTTGCGGCACCATGGATGACCCTGGTCGGTCTTTTCTTAATATGAAAACATGGCACATCACGTTCGGCCTAGTTACAATTCTCTGACTCCTTCCTCTTTTTTGGATCCACACTGTACATGGACATGGTATCTTACATTTAGACACTCATGACCTTTGCAGGAGAAACATTCAAGATATACCCTGATCACCCAGATGGAACCAGTACGAATACCACCCTTTTTTCAACCCCCGTACCAAACTGCGGCGCCATAAGCGGCAATCGTGCGGTCTCCTTTTTTAACTTTGCTAGCACAACCATTTAGGATTCAATGCACCGCTGGGAATATGTTTGCCAATAACAACCCAAGCAGCCGGTCCACTGCTGCCTGTACTCTCAACTCCTCAGACAGTGGCCGCGAGCAAACTTGGATATACGATTTCCCTCAAGCAACCTTTTTCCTCTTTCCTCTTTCATGACAACAACGAATATCTTAACACACCACAAGGATCTAGACCTTTACATAAGGTAAAACTGTTGGTTTCTTCTCCCCTTTTTCCTTTCCCCGGGTAATGTTGCAATCACGCCTACTCTAGTTTTTATCTTTATTACCTAATTTTGACCTCTTTTTCACCTCTAATAAGCACCTGTGGAGGCCTTTACTACCACTCCGTTGGAAACCCGCACAACTGATACAGTGCGCGTCTGGTAACTACAATTGATGACCCACAGAAACGACACATGCTGATAACTATGGCACAGACCAAAAGCAATTTATCTTGATATTCACTGTGGGCACCAACCAAACCCAAAGCCCGGCCCCTGGGCCATGGAAGAGCAGAACTCACACCAAACCCACTGCAATAACCTTTAGCGACAAGGCACACAAACAACTTACTTTATGCCTTGCAAGTCTTTTCCGCGTGTTTGGCGTTTCCCCCTCCTTTTCTTTTAGTTTACACACTGACAAGTGCACCTTTGTAATTAATCGTTAGCACAC